TGTGTGTCCCCGTCTCTCTCCTCCCCTAATCCCCATGTGTGTCCCCGTCTCTTCTCTCCCCTGATCCCCATTTGTGTCCCCGTCTCTCTCCTCCCCTGATCCCCATGTGTGTCCCCGTCTCTCTCCTCCCCTGATCCCCATGTGTCCCCGTCTGTCTCCTCCCCTGATCCGTGTTCGTGCTGAAGGTCTGTGTAGGTGTCCGTCTCTGTGTTAGAGACCTGCTATCACTGCTACTTCCTCAAATGCCATACTATGCATTTTAAGTATTTTTTTTGGGGTGGAAAGAACAAAGACAAAGAGCTTTATTGGTAAATTTCACTGTGAATCCTTCTTGCTGCCTCCTGCTCATTGTTCCGTAGTCTGGGGGACCCCAGTGTCTTTGGGGTTTCTATGGCCCACTACTGAAAAAGTGGGATTTCTGTTTGGAACCTGGTGCTTAGCGTCTGTGAACACACAGGATGGGAGGAGTACCTGGTGTGAACCCTGTCCCCCGTCTCTGGGTATCCGAGCTCCCTGGTGTGTCTAGCAGCGCCACCTAGTGGGCGCCTGCAGAAGGGCGAGAGGGGAATATGGGAGCCCGCTCTCGCTCGGCACGCTGGGAGACCAAAGGGCTGTGTCTACTGCAGCTGCAGAACTGGGGAGGAGGGGAGCTGTGAAACCCGGGTTCCAGGGCAGGAACGGGTTAACAACAGGCCTGATCGAGCCATCGGAGCGATGTCCAGCAGAGACAGTGTCGCTGCTGAGGAGCTCCACTGGGCACGACTCTCTCGCTGTCCGGTTCTCTCGCCTCGCTCCTGAACTACCCGATTGAAACGCCACCAGGCCGCACAGAGGCCTACACGCTGCCTCAGCTGCACAGACGCTCACGGGCTGACGGACCTCCAGTGACAAGTTAGCGAGAGACACCACTGAAGCGGGGAATTAACGACGTCCATTTTCACTCGCTTTGAATCTCTTCGGTCCGAAGAGCCTGCCCAGCGGGGTCCGGCGCCCGTCAGCGGGCCGGCGCCGGAGCTGGAGCCTGGACCCAGGAGGAAACCTGCCCTCGTTGCAATACCTGGTGCGGCCACAGGGGACGCGCCACTGGCCACCTGACCCTGGGCAGTCGCGGACCTGCCGCGGTTTCGTGGGTTTTGGCCCTGTCTGCCCGCTCAGCTCACGCCTGGGTACGTGGGGGGGTTATCGCCGTTACCTCCTGCTCCCCCTCGGCTGCAGCTGAACCCTGGAACCTGCCCTCACCCCCACTAATCTGAGTCTTCCTGATAAACGGCCAGGGGGGTCAAACCGCGCCGTGGCCCAAACTCCCCTTCCACCCCCCCGGCCCGTCATCCGCCTCCTTCCTGTTGATTTTGCACAAGACGTGAAAGGCAGACGCCTTTATATCGTTGTTCATTGTTATCGTTATTATTCCGGGGGACTGATGTCTTCCTTGGGAACTTCCCCCGCCCAGCTGCCCGACCGATTCCGACTCTTCTCGGGGGACAATAAACCCCCGCATGTCTGGTTGCGGATCCGACTGCTGCCTCTGGGGCGGAACGGGCCGGACCGGACCCCTGCTCTCTCTCTCCTCGTGTGCCAAGACCCAGGCGGAAGCAGGATCCTGGCCCTTCCCCTGGGAGAAGGGGGTCATTTCCTGGGAAAGCCCCCCCAGAAAAAAACTAAGAATGGAATACGGAACGTTAAATCCCAGGGGGGGTCGCCTGCTTCACACGTCGGATAAGGATTTGAATTCAATTCACAGTGCAGAGAGAGAAGGAAAACCAGCAGCCGTTTCTGGGGGGGGAGAGGAGCCCCCCCTACAGGACATAGGGGGAGGACAAACTCACCGGAGGGCCAGAGGTCCAGAGGCGGTGGGGAGGGATCGGGATCGGGCTCGCCTGCCGTGTAACGGATGTCCGGGTACCAGCGACGAGAGAGCGACCAGACTCGGAAACCAAACTGCAGCAGAAACATGGGGGGGAAAAAGGCTAAAAATAAATAAAACTCAAAGATTGACGCCCCACTGGTCCCCTGCTGGTTATTTGTCTGGGAAGAGTTTTGGCCACAATCATGTGTTAAAGACTTTCTTCCCCACATCAGACGTGCTCTCAAGTGACTCCTCCAAGCCCAGAGCCGGGCCAGCACCGGGAGGGGAGACTCCTGGGAGAGCTGAGGCTGCTGCTGGGAGAGGTGTGAGTGGGGCCAGCAGGGGGCGCTCACCCTGCGGTCTGTGTGGGTCTTAATGGTGCAGTTTAGTGATGGAGACACTGTACTGTAAAAAGGCGCCATGATTTGAATGAGATGTAAAACTGAGGTCCTGACTCTCTGTGGTCATTAAAATCCCAGGGTGTCTCTCCAGAAGAGTAGGGGTGTTACCCCAGTGTCCTGGCCCAATTCCCCCCTGGCCTTTACCCCTCATGGCCTCCTAATAACCCCCCTCTCTGAACTGGCTCCATCACTCTGCTCTCCTCCCCACTGAGAGCTGGGGTGTGGGGAGCAGACTGGCACATCATCCAGGTGGGGGTACACACTGCTGGGGGTGGAGGGGATCCCCATGACCTGTAAAGCGCTCTGGAATGTCACAGAAAAGCCCTACATAAATTTGTGTCCTGTCCAGGCTGTACCCCACCTTGCCCCTGTTGCTTCTTGGGATAGACTCCAGCATCCCTGCAACCCTGAATTGCATGAAACAGTTAGAAACTGGGTGGATGGCTCCCCAATTTCCACATTTCATCCAGTGTGGCTGCCATCTCCCCTCAGTCTGCGAACCGCAAGCTTCTGCAGTGTTTCCTCATACCTGGATCTCTGGCGCCATCTTGTGGACACAGGGAAGAAAAACATGTCGCCCCACACTGACACACATACTGTACATCTCCAGGCCGAGCACATCTCGGCTGACCTTCTTTTTCTTCTTTTTCACAGCCTTAGTCCCAGACTGTCCTGGGCTCAGCTGCTTTGGTTGCTCTTCTCCACTTGTCTCTGTCGAGCTCATCTTCCTCACTCACTTCACATACCTCCATATCTTTTCTCACACAATCTATCCATCTCTTTCTAGGCCTGCCTCTTCCCACCTCAGATTCCATTACCCTCTGTGTTACTTCCTCAACGTCCCTCCTCGTGATATTGTCCATACCACCGTAAGAAATCCTTAAGCCGATGTTTCAGATTTTGTTTTCAAAAAGACAGCAGTGAATTAAGCCTTAATGCTCTAGTTGTACTCTCTGGCCTTAGTACAGCTCTCCAAATAATCTCCTGCACACTCGGTATTTATACACACATCGGACTGAGACAGACAGAGCTCGCTCGTGCGATGGGGCAGTCAGGAGAGATCATCATCCACTTTAATCATCCACAGCAATTTACCTCTGTAGCCAATTATACAGCCACACTCGTTCATGGCCTGATCTGAGGCTCCAAAGGGTCTTGGTCAAGAGCACCACAGGTGTGCCCGAGCCAGGACTGAACCTGCAACCTTTCCAGTTGTCCAGAGCCCTGACTGCTGTTCTCTCCCACTGCCCCCA